ACGCGGCAGTAAGATCTCAAATTCCGCCGCTCCCAGCCATATTTCCTCAACATTTCACTCACATTTCAGGCTTGTCCTTGAATGCTCAGTAGTGCTGGGGGTATGCAAGCAACCAAATTTCTCTTCAAACGTAAACCAACTGGTATTTGTACATAGTTTGCAGTTTTCACTGGCATGAAAGTGTATAGAGCAATTAACACTTCCAGCCATCACCACAGTCAAACTAATCTAAACCGCAGAGCTACACTTTTAACGCTGCTTGACTTGGAAGCACACTGGTTTTACCCAGACAAATTACCCAGTCTATGCCGTCGGGTGTTTTCACCCCACATAGCAGTAATATACATACAGCGTATTATCAAGTGAAACGTACCAAAACGTCAACTCCTTGCTTCATCCACTGAGACAGCTCAGTCAAATCTACATTGATGAAGAACTAAAACAAAGCTCTAAAGGAACAAGGCATGTTTTCAAAAATCAAATAATTCATGTATTACTAGAACTTCTGCTTCACTTTGTACTCCATGAATCATACCTGCTCATTTAAATTCATGACAATGTCTATGATTAAGGGAATGGACTCTGTGACTCTGCATAGAAATGCAAGATCTAGTTTTAAATTGGTAAAAATTCTGATTATATGATTTATTTTTTGCATATACATACATATCTATGTACGCGTATCTATAAATATACATGTATGTGTGTACATATGTATGCATATGTGCACACAGACAAAATCTTTCAAATTACTTTAAAGATTATTGTGTACTTTGATGAAGCCTACAATGAAAACAAAAGGAACGTTTCCCCAGAAATGCAAGTGACTTTTGCCTAGACACTCTGGCAAGGCTCTTCTGAAAAGAGCCTTTTCACTCAAAATCTAATTCCTGCCTTTCCACTCTGGAAAGTCAAGATTCAATGCAAGTGAATTTTTCCCTTTTATTAAATCCTAATTATTTCCTAAATAAATAACCCAAATATATAGAGAACTTTTTTTTTTTTAATTAAATCTATGGTTTTAGTCTGGCTTCAGAGTGGAAGTGGAGTAGTCCAATTTGTTAATATACAAACACTGAGAAATGAGCCTGAAACAGGCCTCAAAAACAGTCTTACAATAAAATCCAAAGAACTTGTCACATTGTACATGCAAAACTATAAAAATATCCAAACCGAGCCAAGCTAAAAATATAAGTTGTTGGAAAACAAGAAATAAATCGTTCACTATTTTGGAGAAGTGATAATGTTTGAAAATGAAAACCCGAGAACACCAAACATATTAAGCAAAATCTATGCTTATATTTAAATCTGGCCAAGAGAAGCGAACACTGTTCCAAAAGAACTGCAGTACAAAGTATCACATCCCACTCGTTTCTGGAAAGAAATATGTTGCAGTAAGAACCCACATCATGTATTTCATTTTAAAATTGATTAAAAGCTTAGTACTAACTAAACATCTGGAATGATAGCCCTGCCCATCGCTTTAGCTACCGTATAATTTCGGCTTAGCTGCCCATATATTCTCTTGCACGTACATTTGCTCCTGCGGAGGAATCACACGCAGGAAGATTCGGGCTCTGCACTTCTTTGGTCTCTTCTCTACAGAAAGCGAGAGCAAGGCTTTCACAAGCAGTGCTGGCTGCAGAGTCCGGGCAATGGGGTCACCGCTCTGCACCTTCTCCACAAAAGCCTCTGCATACACAGAAAAACGCTTTCCAGTGTTTAGAATCACTGCTTAATAACAACCCCTAAAAAAAAAGGAAAAAGCGATGCCTTAACTTCCTGAATTACACCCAAATAATGAGTAATGAACACCAGCAGATGCAAACCTTGGAGACAGAGCAGTATTAGTAGCCAGAATAAGCTCATTACATCTCACTTCACTCAAGGAATTTGCATTCACGCAGCTTCCCCTGCCCAACTCCCTCTTCTACCTGGTTTACAACAGATAAAGCAATTGATAATCAGAAGTTGAGTAAATTTCTATCTGGTAAAGTCACTTAAAACGCAGCAGGGTTTACCACCAATTAATATCAAACCTGAACACCTGCAGATTACTGGGAATAACAAGAAAAAGAGTAAACCAAAAAATCCACCCTGGTTTCAACAACGTTGGAACTGAAGACGATATAAATGAAACTACATTTCCTGCTCAATGTCGTTACCAAAAAAACCTCTTTTTCTACAAAAAGAAACGTAGAACATTTTTGGCAACAACTACAAGAAGTTCATTTACTAGAGATAATAAATGGTGCAACAAGGAGTGCTGAAATCCAGCCTCTTAAAAAAAATCAAAGTTCATTTATTAACAGAAGGCATGGTTTCAGTAAACAGCACCAGGGAGCTCTGAACCAAGCCGTGCGGTAGGGATTATTGCCTGAGAAGCAGTCACTGCGGAGACAGCCGATTTGTAGTCAACCACGGGGCTGCAGGTCACGCAAAGGAACCTCAAAGCAGTTTTAAGCCATCCAGGACACCTACTGATGATACCACGGAGCTTCTGAGCAGGCTCAAAACTGATGGAGCAACCTGGGTGAATGTTCATCCGAGCTCCAGGGCTACGTTCCCTTGCAGAGGGAAATCGGCACAGAGGTGCACTTATCACACGTACACGTAGTCTCAGCTTCTCTGATGACACATAATTCAAGAGGCTAGGCAAAGACCTCAAACGATAAAATACGAGTCGTTTTGCAGGTTATTAAGCTTAATAAATCACCATATGCTGTTTAATGCTGTAGTTACTGGAGTGGCAGCAAAGAAGAGATCCAACAAACATTGAGCATTTTTGCGAGACCGGAAAGTAGGTCTACGAGCATGGCAATGAAGGGGAGGATTTTTCATCAGGAAAGGACTAGAATCCAAAGTAAAACAAATATTCACAGTAACTGTGCGACGTTTGGCAAATGTCTTTATGAGACTGTGGTGAAATTATATCCACATTTTCAGACGTTATTATACTGACCACTTCTGGTTCGTCACTGCATATTACTGTGGTTTAACACATTCTTCCACCACGTTAATTATACTGAGCCCACTGTATGTACTTAAGCCATCCAGCCCTTAATGGACATAGAGCCTTGCTGCACCTCTAATTACTCTTCTTGATCACTTATGCCAGTACATGCATTATCTGAAAGCATATCTTTTTTTCCCCCCCCCCCCCCCTTTTTTTTTAAAGCAATAATCTAAAACTTAAAACCATTAAGTCAGGCACTCTGAATTATTGGTTTGCAAAATCCCGGAGTTCAATGGAAGATTGGGAAGGGCACAGATGACACAAGTAATTTACGATGCTACGGTTATAAAATTTCTAGATCAGTTAGAGAAGGTACCACTCAAGTATTCGAACCACGTAAAAAAACCAAAAGATAAATAACTACACAACAGCAACAACCTCTCAAGCCCTTGTGGTAAAAGCCCTTACCTATATCAGCTGCACACGAGGGTGCTGAATACATTGGAGGATTACAGAAAATCACGCTGTAGAAGAGCGTTACTATGAGAAGAAACAGCTTGACTGCTGGAATAGCCCTCAACAGCTCAACCCGAGATTCACTCTGCTCTATCATTCCCTTTGTTTTTGTAGGGGCTATTCACCTTTGAATAGAAGCCTGAATTTTCTAAACTACGACAAATAAAATATTTAAGTAACACCATTATGTCAATATTGAATAGGAAAAAAAACCAAACCCACCACCATTTCATTGTAATACTGCCTTTGAGTTGTGAACAATGCAGTTATTGTATAAACAAAATGACTGGTATCTTTGGACACAATTCAACGTCAACACTGATTGTACAGAAAAGAATGAAAATGAGCAAGTTCATTCTTACCTTATTGTTTCTTCTATCAGTCGATCGGAGCTGAAAGCCAAAAGAAAAAAAAAAAAAGAAGTTAAAAAAGGAACAAGCTCAATTTTAGATTATGAAATCAAAGATGTCCATAATATAATCCTTGACAAAATTCCCTTAGAATGTCTTATTTCAGGATGTTGTCACTTTTTGCTACTACATGGATTTGGTATACGTGAGAGTCCTTGGAGAAGACGCACACAGTGTCCTCTAGAGCAGCACTGCCTAACTGTATGCGAGAACAGATGCTCAGAACACATAAAAAACTGAGAATACAGAAGAAGGGGAACGGGCTCCATGATTCATGGCTAATTAATGGTAGCTGAGCCTGATGTGTACCAGGAGCCCAGGACAGTTTGGAAAGGAGTACTAGAGAAGGAAGCACCTATTTTTTTCTCTTTAACCCTGGTCATTCCTGCCCACCCCCTCAAAATGAACAATTAACAGTAACAACCAAGGCTTGGTTCCAGGTAATAAGATCTCAAAACCCTGCTTCAGAGCTAGTTTACCAAACACAGTTTTATGGTGGGTAATGAGGCAAGTTCTTTCTATAGGAATACCAGTTGGATGAGAATTAAGTGACACTTACGGGAAACAGAATACATGCCATCTGTAAGAGAAAGACCTTGATAACACGTGCCCCTTCCCCCTCACTGCCACACGTTAATTTTCTACGTAGCATCGCTGGGAAAAGGACAGCCTAAAATACAGCACCACAGAGGGAACATTCATTTGAAAGCGGATGCGCGACATTAAGAAGACAAACAAGGTCCTCAGAAGACTTGAGCAATTTCTCTCTCTACTCAACTCATTATAGACAGGTTTTTAATCACTGTTTTACAGCCAATTATGAAAGCCCAGGAAAACATATCTTGTTAAAGCAATCACTATCTCAAATGTAACGCTGACATAGCACAGGTGACTCCATCCCCACTTCCCATAGTGCAGAAACAATGACGCACCCCTACAATCGCTCTGTTTACCCCGCAGACTTATACAAACTCTTGTAGAATAACCAAAAAAATGCAAGTTTGCAGTTTAAGAAGGAGATCAATCTGAGAGAAAGAAGTTTTACGTTGTATTGGATATTGCTTCCAGTATTAAAGCACAATTTATTGCTGCTAAACTGAAAGAATGAAAAGACACTGAAAAGGCACGACCGTCTTCACCTTCCACCCTCCTTGTTCCAAGTGTTTTGCCATCTCAGGGAGGGAAGGTATCAACAGCCTCCGGCGCAGCACAGTTCTGCCTCTGACTCAGCCGGAGCTGCCCGATTTGGAACTTTTCTTCAACCCACAGAAATTCTGGAGATCCCCCCACACCTCCAGCTGGAGGCACGGTGAAGGAGCACGTTGCACAGCGTGCGTGCGCGTGTGTAAATGGCTCGGGGGGGGGAGGGGGGGGGCAAATGCTAACAGAATGTCCTTATTTGTCTGTGAAGAGGAGTGAAAACATGAAGGTTGCTATTTCAGTCTAGTCCATGGCTTGAAATATGGAGACAGCACACCGAGCACTAAAAATATTTTGCCCAATTTTAAGTCAAGAGGGACTCAACTGGGGAAGCAAACACTGAAAACACTGGAACACTTCTTTCTGCCCCCAAAACAAAGCCACACTCTGAAGATTCACATCAGTTGCAAGTACATCGGTTTAATCAAATAAAACCATTTTCATTCACTGTGTGGTATTTATTACCACTGGCACAGAGAAGCAAAACACCATAGTTATGTACACAAAATGATGTAAGCAGTCTCAAGTCTCACAGCTTCTGATAATGTCCCCAATGCAAGCAGAACAGAAAAAGTGAGGCATTCAGGATTTCTGTAATTGCTGATTTTCAAACATACAAAATTCAACTGAGAATACGCCTTTCACGCACAGATAGTCTCTAACAGACAAGTGTATCATGTGGGCAGTGCATAGTAAGATTAAACTGCAAAAACATCCGAAAACAGTCTGAAAAGCGAGAAGGGTGCACAAGAATGCAGCATTTTTAAAAAGGTTGAGTTTTTGTTTGGTTGATTTTGTGTGTGTTTTTGGGTTTTGTTTCTTTTTTTTTTTTAATTTATGAACAACAAAAAGATACCAGGAGCCTAGCTGCAAATAAGTTCCACTAATTCCGCGGCACAAAACATTGCAAGAACAATCCCATTAAAAAAACCCCTTACCCTGGAAAAATCATCACCAGCGTTACCATCTCTTTGTCCATTTAACCGATGAAATTAGAGTATTTTCATGTTGACGAACTGAAGACGACAGGGAAGTTGAACACATTCGGAGACCTTAAGTGAACTAGGATGTCCTCCATGGTTTTCAAAGCACAAAAAAATTAGGCTTGCCCATTTGCAGCAGAGACACTAACTGCTTTTTATGTTAGAGAAAGCTGTAGTTAAGCAGTTTTATCACTGTAAACACAAAAAGTATTTAAAAGCTTCAGATTCAATTATATTATACTGCATTATATTTTAGATATGTATGTATACACACATATAAAACCAAACCCTGGAAACGTAGCTACCTGTAAAATGATGGCACACAGAAGTTAAAAATGTATAAAACCAGTAATAAACAGTTCTCAACACCAACAAATATAGACATTAGATGCAAATGCCAACACAAGGCATTTAAGGGGCATCTGAAGTCACAAGATCAATGTTTCTCAAGTTACGGGGAAGTCATCCCAACTATTTAAAAGCATGAGATGCACACAAATTTTCTTCAGAATGACTAATGTATAGGAAAGGACAGACTGAACTATAACTCTTATAGTCTTAAATAAATAGCTGGGAAGCATACAGATTTACTAAATGCAACTTCCAGTATGTTCTTCCCACCGCGAGAAGCGGCACCTCTTGATTGCCTGCAAACCTCCAGCCCGCGAAAAAACCCCACCAGAAAATGGCAGTGACATTCATTGAAATTTTGGTAAGGGCAGCATGAACAGGAACATTTTACGGTAAAAATCCGTGCATCAGAATTCCTTAAGAGTTCTGTTCAGTACTTCCTGCAAAAGATCAGTTGAAGCAGACGCTAGCGGCTTTCCTAAAGGCAGTAACATTCACTCATACAGCACCTCTTAAAAGTCTTTCAAAGTTCTTGGCAAATACAGATAGTAACGTTCACTTACAGTGATACCCAAACAGAAGCAAGCAGTTGTGTCATCATTTTACAGTTCATAACCATAGAAAATAACAGTCAGATTTAAGGAAGATCAGGAACACAAAGTACAACGGCGCCCAGAGACTCAAGGGAAGTTTGCAGATCTCTGACTACTAATAGCTTGTTTTACACAAATAGAACTTGTTCTCACAATTACGAATAATGTTCATTTCAACTGTTCGACAGAATTAAAAAAACAACATTGAAAGAGGTAATTTTGCTTAACTTACACATTCAAAACACTATAAAAAAGAGGCAAAAAAAAAAAAAAAGTATCTCTTGACTGCGTTCTTCTGCTTTCCAAGCAAGCACAACAAATCCAGTGGACATTACCTTATGAACATCCAAGCAAGCAAACGACAGTTCTGGGCAATATTAATCTGATTTACCATCTGTTTCAACAAGCTATGTATTTTCACCTGTCGAGACAGATGGCACTTTGACAAAGCCATTTAAAGATACTATACAAAAGAAACGCTGGAAGATGCTGAGGCAATCACCTACTGTAATAAATGGCAGAAATCCAACAGTAGCAGTCATGCATATGAAATAATCAGGCCTCTGTGCAACTGCTGTCTTCAAAAAAGATTGTGCAGTTTGTCAGTCAAATATGCAGACAGGTAAATTAATCCAAAGGAAAAATTAAGTGAAATATGCCTCTAGGATAGAAAAGAAGCCTACCCATCATCACGTCAGGCTTTTACAACTAAAGAAAGCATTTTATGTTTTTTGGTTTTTAAAGCAAATCTCTACGCCAGTGGTTAAAATTCAGTAATATAGATTATTACTTAGACGAGGACTGGGCTTCTCCCATATCCATAGATTTTGCTGCTGACTTACTAGCTAGTACCCAGTACAAGCACTGTCGGAGAAATAAGATACAGCAGTAAGACTCATCTGCACCCAACTCACTTCACAATGCACTTTAAACCCTTCAGATGAAATTAAGGGTGGTATTATCACAAAGAATAATTTAAAATTATTAGGGAACCCCCCTGTAAAATAAATTAATATAGCACTTGAAAACTATTTTCTTACTTTCATAAAGAATAGTTACAGAAATAATAATTCTACTTTGTTCTTTCTCTAACTGCAGGATCCATCGCTAGTCGCAGCTCTCTCAAACTGCCTGCAATAAATCTCCCGTATTTTCACAGTCCTGGATCACCAGGCAACGTGGAGCTTCTGAGAATGCAAATATTGCAAAACATACTTGATACTCTAACAGAAATACACAGATTACGATGAAGCAAATCAGACTTATAAAGTCAGTTATTTCCATCATCATAATCATTCCTAACTCACAAGTAGAAGAAACACTGCACACACACAACTCCCGCCCAGCTCCAATTCATTCTTCCTGCTTGCCGTCAACGTACCTTATGATCTAAAAAATTCGGAAGATCATTAAGCTCTAAAAATTTAAGTGGAAGAATGTAAAGCAGAACTCGTTGGGTTTTCTTCCTGCGATAACAAACAAGATATTCCAGATTCTCCAAGAGTGTCGCAAGCTTGATTGAATTTAGTGTCAAAGAAAGAGTGAATTCCACTGGAGCTGCTCAGGTAGTTTGGGCAGTTTCCTACAGTTGCTAATGAAGACAAAAATTGGTGTAGAAACCTACTCATTCACTGAGAGCCAAGACAAAAGCCAGGCGAGACAAATGTACCTAGGGTGTGCGACACCCAAAGACAGAAAATGTATAATAGAGGACTGTGCAGGCACCACAAAATCCACTCCTGTGTTTTTATCGAAGAGCAGAAGTAGTACCTGCTACGAATGCACAGCATGCAACAGCGCAGCGAGGAAAGGAATATATCTGACTACGAAGCATACATCTTACATTTCCAGCATG